CTCCCCACACCAGGAACAATGCCACAGACTCGCAGGCATAAGAATAGAGCGAGGAAGATTTCTCGCTAAGCACGTGGCGCTGCGTCCTTACGAAAATTCTCGTATGACACGTACGCCTCGTATCCAATAATCTTGTATGAACACATATGAATCATGTGTGTTCTCATGGGATCATACGAGATTCTTAGATGTGTGTCATATGAGAACTTTCCATGCAACACACGTTCTTAGTATACTCAAAGCTGATGAAGGATCATGCACTCAACTCCGCTATCAGACCGAAGGTATGATGCGTATGACAGCCTACAGAGAAGGATGAAGGCCTACGATGACTAACAAACCCGGTGTGCCCTGAAAGGGCATTCGGTTGGACAACCGCGGCAGTTTCTGAGGCCCTGTCTCTGAATAAGGAGGGGCGTATACTTATAACGCTGAGGACGACCCCGGGGACGAGAGTGAGCGCAAGCATGGGATGGCTCTGCGGAGCCAGTCCTTCAGTTCTGCTCGCCTGGTGCTTCTGGTTCCACGGCGGCAGTGGTTTGGCCACTCGAGGGAAAACGCACGAGGACGAGCGAACCGGCGGGGAGCGAAGTCCCTTGGCGGAACGGCTGTGGCACTGAACGCGACGTTGACGAATGGATCGGAGCCTTGCGGTCGACCGCGAGTAGACGACGGACTGCTCCCTTTCTCCTCGTGCTTGCTTTCTTCCCGAGCAGCATCGTCTCTGTTCTCGCAAATGAACGAAAGAAGAGACGCCTCAGGCCAACGAAGTGGCAAAACCGAGAGGAACAGTACACACCACGAGAAACTGACAAACACAGTACCGTCAGTAATTAATGACCGGTGGAGAAATAGGAGATGGTCTCGTTTAAAGGGCGTGGTTTGGACGCCCTTAAAAAATTTTTGAGCGCTGCTTGCACCCTCCCCTCGACAAGTACTGCTGACTGGGCGAATTGGTGCGGGGGGGGGGGGTAGAAAAAGGGGGTAACCATTTAGAGCACAGGGTACTCTACTATGGGAGAGCTTAAAGCCGTCCCCGAAAATTCACAGCAGAGAAGAACCAAAGAAACGGCGAAAAATCACGTATCGAATTGTGTTTAGAAAAAATTTATTGCCACAAACGTCAATAACACTCAACAGAACATTTCCGTCTTAGACATACTCTAACGATGGTGACAAGACAGACGTCATTTACATGAACATGTATATGAGATGACGTTGAAAGAACATGTACATTCGATGGTTCACACAAACACAATTGGTGCACGATAAAATGATTTTGCTTTAGCGCAGCTCAGTTTGAGCATGAAGAAAAATGCTATGCAGTAAGGAAGGGGAAAAAACAGACACTGTCGTCCGTTTTTTTTTTTTTTCTTCTTTACAGCCCAAACTCCATAAGCGCGAAAATGCACGCGACAGCGACGAGCGACGCTATGAGCGACGAAACAGGGCGTTCGCGCGACGTGTCGCGTGCTCGTTTTCGCGCGATCGCTCGGTTCTCCGGATTTGGAAACCGTCGCTCATCGCCCGGAAGTGCTGGGCTCAAGCAGCCAATAGCGAAAAACCGGAAAAGACGAAGACTACATAGGTGCACGTGACCCTGCCCGAGTCACGTATGCGCAACAAGAAATAACGCAATGTTTATTACGCATGCGCATATAAAAAATGCTGCAAGGCAATAATAAACACTTTCCGTTACATTACACAACGATATATCTTATTTTTTAATTGGAAACCGCTCACTACGCGGTTTTCTTCGTGCGAGTTGACGGCTGTTGACGGCCTCATGCCAGCAACAGTGGAATTCGCTCGCCGAAGCCGTCGCGTGAATGAGGTTTGCCTGCGCTAGCGACTGATCGCGCGACGCCGATCTACGTCGCGTCGCTCGTCGCTGTCGCGTGCATTTTCGCGCTTATGGAGTTTGGGCTTACTGCATAGCATCTTTTTTTTTCACGCTCAAACTGATCTACGCTGAAGCAATATTACCCTCCCCTCTTTGTCACATTAACATTTATGCAGATATGACAGTAAACGAAACAACCTACGATTGAGCTCTATCAGAGCATCAAAATGACAGGTGTCGTATAGCACCGGCTCTTGTCATTTCTTTACAGCGGCAGCGTTGAAACACTTTCTCCTACTCCCCCCCCCCCCCCCCCCAACCCCTATTCTAGCTACGCCATTGTCTCCCATAGACTGATACGCCATCTACGGCAAGCATACAGGACAGCCTCCTTTCAGAGTGGCCTCGGCCCGGCGGCTTACGGTGACCACATTTTCGTACAACGGAGCCCTGCGGACGGCATGCGCACGCTCACTTTCGACATTTGTCGCTAAAAGTCGTGGGTGCGATCCTCGCCGAGACGATCTAGAGGCGAAATTCTAGAGCCCTTGCCGTTTTCTCTGCGACGTCAGTGCTCGCGAAAAGAACGCCAGGTGGTCTACATTTCTCGATCCCTCCCTTATACGGTGTGCCTCGAAAACATATCACGATTTCGGCACGCAAAACCCGCTGGCTTCATGTGCTGTGCAAACAAATCAGATCTTGCTCGCTATCTTTCCGTTTAGAGGGGTGCGTACAATCGGAAAAGGCGTTAACAGAAACAGTAGCAGGCGTTTTTCACCTGTAGTCATTCATTCTCTCCCGTTGCGCAATTTCTTACTCAGACTTGGCTATTACTGTCCCATTAACCTTTGTATTTTCATCGCCCTGACTCCACAAGTTCAAACTATTTTCATGAAGCAGTTAGTGACAGTTATAGAACACGTATTGAAACACAGCACTTCCAGCCCCGTGTTTCAATATGTTCAAAATATCTTAAATATTCACACTCCTCGTAAATTTGGCAAGTCGTCGACGTTTTCTTGGTAGCCACTCACTATAAGGACATATGCGTGGTGGTACAACAACTAAATCCCAAATTCCGCGCAGCCATCCGGCACTACAAGAGCATTCACAAAAACATTTAGTACTTTACAAACAACGTAAACATACACACGCTGCAGAAAAAAGAAAGGGTCACGCAGAAAGAAAAAAAAACCGCCTCGTGCAGAACAAATGAACTACCTATGCCTAGCTTCAGCCGGTCGCCATGACGATGTCCCCTGAGGGCCGGCCATAAACTTGAGCAAGCGCAGGGGAAGCAGGCAAGAAAGAAGCACCGTCAGTTCCGGCGGCCGCAAAGCAAGGGAAAAGCATTGTCTTCCGGCGAGGCTCTCGGGCAGAGGGATGGCCGCAAGTCACGAATATAGTGCTTTAACAGCAGTGGCTTTCCTTTCTTCGGAGCTCCGATAAAGTGTATATACTCGCTGCGAATGACCAATAGCGCTGCGTCAGAATTGTCGTAGACGCCGGAAACGCTGTCTATAGCAACGTTACTAGAACTTAGTAACGTTGGTCTATAGCATGCCTATTATGGTTGCGCGGTAACGGTACACGGAAGAGCAGTGAAAAGACAACGAACGTGGAAGCGTGGAGAGGGGGAGAGAGAGAGCGGCAGGTGACGGACGCTGCCAGCCGTCCGCACCGGTGATCTGCAACATCGCGCGGCCGTCTTTTTTAGACAGGGACCGCCATTTTTCCATCCACAACCGACCGCCTTCCCCTCGGTAATAGGAGACGGCACCGCCGCTTTTTCAGACAGCCAGCAGGACTCTCATCCTCGAGAGCCGCTGGCCGACCCTCCTTCCGTCTGGTCCCGAACCTCTTAACGGTGGCCTGCCTTCAGGTTTTACTTCCTTTTTTTTTCATTTTTGCGTCTCTTCCTCCTCTCCCCACGCCTCGCTCGCATCTTCGCGTGTACATTTGGTCTTTTTCCATCAATCTCTGGCAGGCCGGTGGCTCGCTTCTGGACCTCCTGCCCGCTCAGCTGTGACCTGGCATGCATGCATAGGCCGCTGCCTTGCCTGTGTGAAAGGTAGCACACAAGCGGCGACACCGAGCTAAGCCAGCCAGCGCCGACGATCTCCGCTCCCCCGCTAGGCTCCTGGAAGAAGCCTCTCTAACGGTGATGCCGTTACACCATCTGCATCTCGCGCTATCCATCACGATTCTCATTAGGCTCACGAAATAGAAAAGGTTTCCGTGCTAAAGGTGCGACGTAATAGTTATAAGACCGGTACATATAGTATATACGTATACTATATAGCACTCACTGTGGACTAGACCACGAGACTGAGTGGCCTGGCACACTTTAAGGTTGTGTTACGTTTTCGCCCATCGTGACACGTTTTCGAGTTATCGGGAGAGAGTCGGACTGTCCCTGCGAGCGCGAATCATCCCCCCAATCACTTGCTTTCACCCTCGAAGTTATAAGAAAGTTTGAGGCCGACATCAGCGCCGGGCAAAACGACGGCGAGCGGGCGGGCAAGCGGATACGATGCGCGTTCACCGGAACACAGCCCCAAAACCCTCGCCCGATAACTCGAACAAGTATCACGATCACCGACCCCACACAACCCGTCAGAGTGCTAGGCAAAGCGCTTCAACAGTGTAACACATACTGATCTCGACAGTGTACCTTAATTCGTCAGTGTGCTTCGAGACAAGCTCGAATTGCCGTGCTTTGAAGGATTGAAAAGGGAAACCCTTGCAGTATCGTAGCACGTACTATGCGCGCACGTTGTGAAATAGATGCGACGGACAGCTGCCGGCATAGCCACCGGTCACTGCTTACGCGTATGCCTATAGAGATAAGCCGCGAACCCGTACGTGTGGCGAGCAGCGACCGCATTCAAACAGCTTTAAGAACACGACGTAAATACTACATTATTCCCGGAGAAAGGCTCAACTCGAAAAGAGACAGCAGAAATAGTGGCTTAGCTTTCGACAGCCAACGAAACAAAATCACGAATTCCAACACACATCGCAATAGTCTGCAAACTAAAAAGTCAGATGCAGATTATCAAGCGAAAGTTAAAGGAAAAACCGCGAAAAAAAAAGCGGGGGATGCAGCGTGGCTAAGACTTTCGCTTGAAGCAAGAGATACCGGAAGGAAGTGTTGCATTATTGAACTTGTCATCAAATTTTCGACCAGTTTTATTCCCAATAATCGACCAGTTTTATTCACAAAAGGAAAAAAAAAGTAACCAGCCTCGGACCTTTGGGGGCACCAAAACAATCACTTTGTAGTACAAATGAACTTCGATGGATGCTTCCACAACAAGACGCCTGCTGCTGCGCCAGGCGACTAGGCGGGCCACGCAGGAAGTTGGCGGGAGAGTTCGAAACAACGTCACAGGAGCAGCCGGTGCCATTCACATGATTATTTTACGCATGTCAAATTCACTCGTTTGCACCACCTCGACACAATCCGGCGCCGGCGAAACGTAACCACCGCCGACTAGCGGAGGGGAAGGGTCGATACTCGCACAAGGGTCATGCCCACCACCACGGCCCTCCGCTTCGTTTCCGCTATGTTCGGTAAGGTCAATGACGTCCACTGTGAGATCAACAAACGTCGTCTTACGGCGCTTGCTGGGCCGCCCATCACGCTCGTTGGACGAGGACATCGAACGCCTCTTCGAGCTCCTAGCAGATGTCGTCGAGGCTTTGCCCGCTCGGTAGTCATCGCCCGGCGAAGCCGACGGCGTCCAGGAACCGTCCGCGCGGAAAACGACGCTGTCGCAGCTGGCGGGTGCCTTCTCGACAATCTGCTTAAAAAGTTGGTCTACGAACAGCGAGAAGAAGTCGGCCCGCCGACCGCAGACGGGACAGATCCACGTGGGCCGCGTCTCGTTCACCTGCAAGTAGCTGGCCGCATCGAAGCACTGAACGTGCTTGCACCCGTGCGCTCGGCACGGGACGCTCATCCGCTTCTTGCTCAGCGGGCAAGTGAGCGAAACGCGAAAGCTGGTCACCGCGATGTCGTCGCCACCGCTTGCCCGCTCCTGCACTTTCTTCGTGATGTGCTCTCTGGTCGCGACCGTGCTCGGCGCTTCTCTCGCCTGCAGTTCCCGAAGAATCGTGGCCGCCGATTCCTTCCGCACGAGGAACACGCCGACGAGGTACTCGCGGCCCCGTTCGCGCGCCCAGTCCAGCGAAAGCCTGTTCTTCATGTCGGGATGCAAGAAGCAGTAGGAGACAATGTTCACGGGCTGGCGTACGTGTACGGTCGCACCGCCGGGCGCCTGCGCAGGAATCAACGCTGGCAGTGCGCAGACCTTGTCGTTCACCTTCACGCTCAAATCGGCCGGGTAGCAGTCCTCCTGGTCGCCGCTCTTGTAGTCCAAGCAAAAGCGGAGGTGCACCTGGACCCCGTACTCTGAAACCTCCGGGGTTTTATGGGACAGCGACGTGAAAATTTCGTTCACGTGATGCGGCAGAAAACGGAACTGAAAGCACCTGTGGCACCGAGAGTGTCCGTCGCTTTTGAGGCGGGTCGCCGGTAAGAGCGTGGCCACGACATCGTAAAACGGTTGCTTCCTGAAGTAGGCGTGCGGATACCTCGAACGCGACGACCTACGAGACGTCTTCGAGGAGCTCCGCGATGCCATCGCGGACAGACGCCGGTGTCCTGGAAGCCTGAGGAACGTGGACGGCTAGAAGGCAGCGTAGTCGTCACCGTCGTCGTCTTGGCAAAGGATATGCGCAATCGGCCTCGCGCGACTGACCAGACACTCGGCGCGTCTACATATACAATGCGCCGCTCGCCAGCTTCGCCGTGACCTAAGTGCTTTCTAGCTATCACACTGCTTCGTATTCCACGGCCTTTCTTTTCGTAGCGCACCTTCCTTTCTCGCTGATACAGCATGTACTGATAGCGCGCTAAAAGCGACAATTAAATTGACCGGTGACGTCCGAATCCGGTACTATATACTTACAAGGAAGCTTTAAATTCGAAGAAAGTTTACACTAAGTTCAGTTTAGCGTGTGCAAGGCACCAAAGCCATAAAGTTCGCACTTAATCGTAGGAAACTATACGATCAGTGCTCAACTCGGCTGTCTATAACGACGGAGCGTCGCGTGCGGAACAGCACGAGCGACATCTGCAGTCGCAAATACGCCACATCTGAGCATGCGCGGCGCCAATGATGTGCCTGCCCTGCAGTTTCCACCCTTCTTTATCTCCGCGACCGCGATGGCTGCTTTGTCAGTCGAAGCGCTGTCAATATTACAAAATCAAAATAAAACAACAACAAAAAAGAAATATTCTCGTTTCGTGATGTCATATCACGGCGACAACGGTTTTACTTCGACTTTCTTTCTCTTTTTTTTTTTTCGCGAAATCGCTCGGAGCGCTTTCGACGGCCAAAGCGGTTGTTGCATCCGCGGCACATCACTGGCGCCGCGCATGCTCAGATGTCACCCGTGCTGTTTCGCACACGACACTCCGTCGTTATAGACAGCCGAGTTGAGCACTGATCAAAGTAGGTGATTGTTTCACCACCGCGGTCCAACAGCGGTTGCGATGCTGCACTGCTGACCCGAAGGACGCGGGTTGGATCCCTGCTGCAACTGTCGCGTTTCCAATAGAGACGCAAAACACGAACCCCTGTGCTACGTCAGTGCACTTTGAAGAACACACCAAGATTGCATAAATTTCCGGAGCACTCCACTGCGGTGTTCCTTTTCATCATACTGTTGTTTTGGCACGTAAAACCCTAGTAACTACGCCGCTGTGTCAGAGCAGTATCGCGTGTGTAATGCATATCAGCTAGAGTCGGTTAGAAATAGTCCTAATAGTCCTGTGCGGCAGGACTTGTGCATGCTTTCCTTTGATTTCATCGCACTTCATGAAGAGGCGAGCCACTCGCTATTCCGTCGGACACATTTTCTGCTGTGCTATAATGAATGCGAACTACAGATGCTCCGCTGTTAGGAAAAAAAAGATAACGATCGGTAATTAACTGTGCTTGCCGCTCACGCACGCTTGTACTATCATCTCCACCCCTTAAAATGGGGCTGTTGCACTTCGAGCAGGTCGTAGATTCGCGGAAGGCATTTTGTAGGGCAGACCTGGCTATACTGACGAGCGCGAGCGACCACCACAGTGCATGTGTGTCACAAACACATCGTCGAACGACGTTGTGTGTCTCGTGGTTACGTCGTCCATGTATCAAACCGAATTCCTTTAACGACGCTGCTTAACAGAATCTGGCTAATAAATTTGTAGCATTATCAATATGAGGCTAAAAAGTAAGAACTTCGCACTTTTAAGATGCTCAGGTTCATCATCATCAGCCTGACTACGTCCACTGCAGGACAAAGGCCTCTCCCATGTTCCGCCAGTTAACCCGGTCCTGTGCTTGCTGCTGCCAATTTATACCCGCAAACTTCTTAATCTCATCTGCCCACCTAACCTTCTGTCTCCCCCTAACCCGCTTCCCTTCTCTGGTAATCCAGTTAGTTACCCTTAATGACCAGCGGTTATCCTGTCTACGCGCTACATGCCCAGCCCATGTCCATTTCTTCTTCTTGATTTCAGCTATGATATCCTTAACCCCCGTTTGTTCCCTAATCCACTCTGCTCTCTTCTTGTCTCTTAAGGTTACACCTAATTTTTCTTTCCATTGCTCGCTGCGTCGTCCTCAATTTAAGCTGAACCCTCTTTGTAAGTCTCCAGGTTTCTGCTCCGTAGCTAAGTACCGGCAAGATACAGCTGTTATATACCTTCCTCTTGAGGGATAGTGGCAATCTACCTGTCATAATTTGAGAGTGCTTGCCGAATGTGCTCCACCCCATTCTTATTCTTCTAGTTACTTCAATCTCGTGGTTGGGCTCTGCGGTTATTACCTGTCCTAAGTAGACATAGTCTTTTACAACTTGAAGTGCATGATTACCTATCTCGAAGCGCTGATCTTTTCCGAGGTTGTTGTACATTACTTTCGTTTTCTGCAGATTCATTTTAAGACCTACCTTTCTGCTATCCTTGTCTAACTCCGTAATCATGAGTTGAAATTCGTCCCCTGAGTTACTCAGCAATGCAATGTCATCGGCGAAGCGCAGGTCACTAAGGTATTCTCCATTAACTCTTATCCCTATATACTGTTCCCATTCTAGGCTTCTGAAAACCTCCTGTAATCACGCGGTAAATAGCATTGGGGAGATTGTGTCCCCCTGCTTTACACCCTTCTTGATTGGTATTCTGTTGCTTTCTTTATGAAGCACTATGGTAGCAGTTGATCCCATGTAGATTTCTTCCAGGATGTTTATATATACTTCATCGACGCCCTGATTCCGCAGTGTCTGCATGACGGCTGATATTTCTACTGAATCAAACGCCTTCTCGTAATCTATGAAGGCTATGTATAGTGGTTGGTTATATTCTGAGCACTTCTCTATTACCTGATTGATAGTATGAATGTGGTCGATTGCTGAGTAGCCTGTTCGAAATCCTGCTTGTTCCTTTGGTTGATTGAATTCTAATACTTTCTTTATTCTGTTAGCAATTACCTTTGTAAATAGCTTGTATACTACAGAGATCACGCTAATCGGCCTGTAATTCTTCAAGTCCTTGTCATCTCCTTTATTATGTATTAAGATGATGTTAGCGTTCTTCCAAGACTCTGATACTCTTCCCGTCAGGAGACACCTAGTAAACAGGGTGGCTAGTTTTTTCTAACACAATCTGTCCTCCATCTTTCAGCAGATCTGATGTTACCTGATCCTCACCAGCAGCTCAGGTTACCAGATGCTCAGGTTACACACACGTGATTAATTTTTGCACGGGACTATACTTCCACCGGCGCCGTAAAACTATCGAAACGCCATGATTCGGCTCTGTATAGCATTCTCACGATATGTTCGGTGGTGGTAGTCGAGCGAGGGGAGTGGGCGGGGGCTGGTTGCGGTTTTGGCAAACTATCCGCGCTGCGGGATCGGAGTAATTTAAGCCGAACGCAAATCAGGGCTCGTTCTTTCTGCGGCCCTAGCGCTTACGCCCTGATCTAGTCCAACACGTCCGGAGACCTTTACGTATAACCGTTATCGGAAGGAACGGTGCAACCAACAGTTATTTTGCCAAAATGGTTCACATTTCCACGTCTCCCTGCCGAATGAGCCTCGATTAAGTCGGAGTTATGGCTCCCACTCGTGGCGTTTCCTTCCATTCTATCGAAGAACGCGCACAAGATGTCTCGTGCACCCCACCAAAAACGGAACTTAATTCACTAGGTTCTTTTTTTTTTGTAACCTGTCAAGTAATGTGCTCAAACTGCCTTTCTTTTTCTCGTGCTAATTGCATTGAGCATAGTTGATCAATTTCACTGAGGATATATAGTACGTCATCGCGCTTGCTTTATAATGTGTCCCACAGGTGAAGCTAATCGAGCCCTACATTTACTTCAATTTATTGTTAACAAAAGCGCTGCTGCGCATTTGACCTCTCTAAGGTTCTGAAGCACTGAAGGGTGCACGTTAAAGAACCCCAGGTGGTCTAAATTTCCGGAGCCCTCCACTACGGCGTCTCTCATAATCCTATAGTGGTTTTGGGACGTTAAACCCCACATATCAATCAATCAATCAATCTGAAGCACTGAACTCCCGCTCTGAAATAAAATGTTATTTAAGCCTTCGCTGCTTTGAGAACCAACAGAGTATACCAGTATGGGAGGCTCAGCCGACAAGCCTGGGTTCCAGATTAGTATACTTGCAGAGATTCTACGTCCCGAAACTATACGGCATGACTACGAGAGATGCCGTAATGGAATGCTCGGGCCATTTCGATCACATGGGATACTTTCACTGGCGCCTAAGTATAAGTACACCTCTAACACATCGCTTCGATCAAAATGCGGCTGCCAGGGTTGGGATTTGATCCTGCGACCGTGCGGTCGGCGGTCGAAAGCCATAATCACTAGACCGACAAGTGTGGGGTCCCTGTATGAACAGGACCATAGTCATTAGCACAGGTCCACTTAATCTTGAAGTAATCTTATCACCCGCATTCGGGGGTCATCAGCTTGGGCTCCTGAGCAGAACGTATTTACGTATATATACTTACTCGCTTGGAAATGGTCAAGCGGCAACGCGATGAGCCGATAATAAATGTATAACGTTTACGCGCGGTAAATATATATATATCTTTTTTCACTGCTAATGGTAATAATTACAAGGGTTCTATGTCCCGAAACCCCCACATGATTAAAAGACATTTTTCACTGTTCGAAAGCACTGTTCTCTTTTCATGAATTGAAAGCTGCTCACAGTATGCCGATTAATGCTAATGCGCATATGAAGTGTGGCAACAGACAAGCCGGATATCAGGCGAACTTCCCCCTCGTTTTTTTTTTTTTTCGCCAGCCAGCGACAAGTAGAACTTTCAGTTCGCGGACGCGCTCGTCAATAAAGAGTTTTAGCAGAGCGGGCCAGCGGCCAGCGAACCGGAGCGGACGAGCGCAGCGCCAGCGGAACGACGCGCGAAAAAAAGAGTTTTAGCTGAACGATCGGCTGCTGCCCCCAGCGAAGCGTTGTACTGCGCCATCTGTCCATTCAAATTTGAACTACCCTGATAGGAAAAAAAAGTAAAGGTTTATTTTTAGATGCTAAAACCACAATACAAACACGAATTTTATGTTTCAGTACATACTATTTTACTTTAACGGTTATTTGTATCTTTTAGCGAAGTCGTTAAACTGAGGAAAGTACGTCACCAAGCCAACTGAAGTCGAAGCTCCAAGCCAGCTGTTTCTTGCCGCGCTTTTTAACAGACAGTGTGTGGCTTGCCGCTGCAAATTGCCGCTGATAACTGCTTTGAACAATGCCCCAGAGCATACTGCAGGACCCCCTGCTCCTGACTCGGTTGAAATGGTCCGAAATAGTCGACGTCTTGTGCTTAGAAGTTCTGGGCGAGACACGGCGTGACCCACTCGTTATGCGAGGTCTTTTGGACATTGATGCGATCGACAGTGGCGTGTTCAGAACGTACTTTCGGTTGGAAAAGGACGATGTACCCAGGCTACAGAGAGCCTTGTGCATACCTGACAAGGTAACAACTCCGCAGAGGGTGTCAGTTCCCGGCGACGAGGCCCTTTGCATCACGCTAAGAAGACTAGCCTACCCAAACGGGCTGCGCGATCTGGAACACCTTTTCGCCCGACACAGCTCGACCATATCGTCATTGACGAACG